CTAGTGTTGTGGGTTTGTTAGAGACCAAAGTAAAATCTGAAAAGTCTTACAGGGTGTCCAAATGTATCCCTCCTCACTGGTCATACTGTAATAATTATACTGCTTCTAGTAGAGGAAGAATTTGGGTAGCTTGGGATGAAGAGGTCTGGAAGGGTACAATTTTATCTATTACTTTACAACAGATTACAATAATGCTCCAGAATTGTGGTGGTTTCAATCTAATGTTGAGTGTCATTTATGGAGAAAATTCTGAAACATTAAGATCTACTTTATGGGCTGATATTTCTGATATACACTCTCAAATTAACACAATGCCGTGGCTGTTAGTGGGGGATTTCAATGTTTGTAGATACACATCAGAGAAAATTGGAGGAAGGAAGCTAACTGCAAGGAAACTACAAGACTTCAATGATTGTATACAGAAATGTGGACTGTCTGACATCAAAAGTACCGGTTCATCTTGGACATGGCATAATAAGCAACAAGGTAGATACAGAATATATGGTAAATTGGATAGGGCCCTGAGCAACTCATATTTGATAAATAAGTTTCCTCAAGTGTTTATAGAATATAAATGCACTTCTTCTAGTGATCACACTCCAGCTCTTGTCCATCTTATGCCCAGCACTCTTTCAGAGCCAAAGCCATTCAGATTTTTTAACTACTGGACTCAATGTCAGGGTTTTGAAGATGTGGTCAGTAGTGTCTGGAACAATTTTAAAGCAGGTTCTCCAATGTTCAAGTTAGTTTCTAAACTTAAGGATTTAAAATCCGCTCTCAAATTTTGGTCAAAACAGTCAGGTACTTCAACAAAGAATAATATTATAAAGCTGTCAAAGCAGTTGGAGCACATCCAGAATGAGCTAAATAATGACATGGAAAATGAGGACTTGCAATCTACTGAATTAGCATTATGTTTCGAGCTAGATGGATGGTTAAACAAGGGGGAGGATGAGATGAGGCAGAAAAGTAGACAATCATGGCTACAACAAGGGGATAGAAACACTCAGTTCTTTTATAATGCTATCAAACAAAGAATATCTATGAATAGCATACGACATCTGATTGACAAAGAAGGCTCTCCTATCTCTTCTATTGACCAGATTAAACTAATGGCTCCAAAATTTTATGAAGATTTATTCAATCAAACCTCATATTGGAATATTTTTCCTAAACTGACAGTTAAGAGAATTCTAACTGAGGAAGCAAAACAATGGTTATGCAAGGATATAAGTTACAAGGAGATCAAGGATGCTCTTTTCCAGATGAATCCAGATAAGGCACCAGGACCTGATGGTTTTAACGCCTATTTTTATCAACAGAACTGGAGTTTAATCAAGAATGATGTGGCTCTGGTAGTGAAATCCTTTTTCTCATCAGGTAAACTTCTTAAACAGATCAATCATACTTTCCTCACCCTAGTACCGAAATCACATGAAGCATCTTCCATAAATGATTATAGACCAATATCTTGTTGCAATGTCATATACAAGATTATATCTAAAATCTTGAGTAATCGTCTTAAATTGGTGGTGGGAGAATTGATATCAAAAAATCAACATGCTTTTCTGCAAGGGAGACATATAGGTGAATGTTCTTTATTGGCTCATGAATTGCTAAGGGATTTCTCTAAGAATCATGGGAAAAGAGCTTGTTTTAAAATTGATTTGCATAAAGCTTTTGATAGCATTAATAGAGAGTTTGTATACTATATTATGCATTGTATGGGTTTTCCAGTCAAATGGATCAATTGGATCAAGGAGTGCCTGTCTTCAGCAACTTTCTCAGTTCTTTTAAATGGTTCCCCTAATGGTTTTTTTCAGAGTAATAGGGGTATTAGGCAAGGAGACCCTCTATCTCCTTATATTTTTGTATTAGTGATGGAATTCTGGTCTATTGGGATGGAGCTAGCTACAATCTCAGGGGATATTCAAAATTTTAAGAAAAGCAAGAATCTGCAAGTTTCCCATATTTTGTTCGCTGATGATATGTTGGTTTTCTGTAGAGCAAATAGAAAATCTTTCGAAGGTTTAAACACTCTGTTAGATTCTCTGGTTCTCCATACTGGTCTGAGTATCAACTGAAGCAAAAGCAGGATATTTTACAGCAGGGGTTGTGTTAATACAAATGATCTAAGCTCTATTGTGGGAATATCTAGAGGAACTCTGCCTATGAAATACTTGGGATTACCTCTATCAATAAATTATCCTAAAGCTAAAGATTTTATATCCCTAATTGATAAAGTTAGAAGTAAGATTGAGGGGTGGATGACTCATACCTTATCATTTGCGGGGAGGCTTGAGCTCATTAAAGCAGTCCTGTATAGTACCACATCTTATTGGTTCTCTGTTTATAACTTTCCTAGCTCTGTTGTACACATTTTGGAAGCTATTTTTGCAAACTTTCTTTGGAAAGGTAAGATGCATGCTATTAATTGGAAAAAAGTTTGTAGACCAAAAGAAGAAGGAGGATTTGGTCTTAGAAAACTTGATGATCTCTGTCAGGCCGCAAGTTTAAAGTTGATTTGGCAACTCCTTACTGTTAATTCTCTGTGGGCTAATTGGATGAATACAAGATATATAAAGGATGTTAATTTCTGGAATACTTCTTCTAACTTAATGGATTCTGGCACTTGGAAGCATCTTTCAGATCTCAAAATCAAAGCTTTGAATTGCATAAGGAAATCTATTGGAAATGGGGAGTCTACTTCACTCTGGTTTGATCCATGGATTCAGGATGGCAGAATTATTGAATTATTATAGCATCATACTCCTCAACTCACTGGCACTGAGAACTGGACAGTTTCCTATATTATACAAAATTCTCAATGGAATATCACGTTACCTTGTCTTATGCCTCTGGTGAATGTAATTACTAAAATCAAAATTTCTGGACAAAGGGATCAATGGGTTTGGCTACCTGCAGCTAGTGGTAAGTTCTCTTTTGCTTCGACTTGGGATCTGTTAGACCCTAGAAGGGGGGGGGGTGATTAGGGTCTTATGCTAATTTAATCCGATTAAATGCCAATTAAAAACTAATTAACAAGTTATCCTAGCAAGTATGAAATGCAACAATATATATGAACTAGGATAAGCAATATACAATATGATATATCCTAGCAAAGAGGCATATAGTGAAATATATGCAAGGATATATAAACTAACACAAGGGGTAAACAATCTAAACAAGATAGTGGATGATATAGATAATGAGCTAATGACAATGGCGATATAAGATATGAACATAAATATGAATGAACGCCAAAGCACACTCAAACAAGCAATATGATCACGGAATTTGGACATTCCGTCCTACGTCTCCGCTCCCCACTCCCGGGGAGAAATCCACTAACACAATCCGGTTTGGAAGCCGGAACTTCTTCTACACACTCGGTTTTCTAGCTAACCGAAAACTCTCACACAACAAACACTATGCAATCACACTCTACACCCACCTCAAAAGGTTGTGTGTGAACAAAGAGATATAAATCAAAACTAAACTCAAAGTAGTTCTAGCTTAATAACAATGATAATCAAATATATAAAAGAGCTAGAAATAGAGTTTAGAAAACTTCTCAATATATCAAGAGTGGAGGGAGAAGAGTTGGATGCACAAACGCCAATAGATGATCTCCTCAAGCTCTTGTTGAATTGAATCACAAAACTGAAACACTCTAATGCTTAAAAGCTTCTTAAAACAAACTTAAACAAACACTAAACAAGTTTAAACCCTTGTTAAAAACTTTTTAAACCATTCTCTTATATATAAGAAAAGAGTGCAATGGGGGTATATATAACCTCCCAAGAACTCAGCCAAAAAACTGAGCAAAAGACAAAACAGCCCCAAGGCAACGGTCATAAAAAGAGCCGTTGGAACTGTACTGGACAGGCGTCGGTCGACCGATCCGGTCGACCGAAAAAGCTCTCGGTCGACCGGACCGGTCGACCGACGAATCTCTGGAAAAATACTGACGAATGGTCAATTGACCGGTCGACCGTACCGGTCGACCGAAACTTGACATATCAAAAACTGTATTACTCTGATTTTTAAAAACGCTGTTTTAAAATATCAAATAAATTCCAAGAAAAGTAAAAACTTTGGGAATGATTGTAGGACATGATTAATAAACATGCTACGAAGTGACTGGTTTATCAGAAAGGACCCTCCCAATGAAATATCATCCATTTTTACAAAATGAGTCCAAAACATTGAAAATATGAATACTTGAATTTTGACTTGTTCTTGACATAAACCACTTTTTGAAAACTTTGTGAAATGTTGTTTTATTATACTTAGTAAAACATGTATAACCTACTATTCAAGTCTACAAACTAAGAAAACCATATTTTCACAAAATTGCATATTCTATGCAATGTTTTCAAAAACACAATAGAAAATATGAAATATATAATTTCATATATATAATCATAAAAACTCAAAACACATGTATGTATATATATAACTATATATATAGAAACCAAAACTTATGTATATATATATAACTATATATATATACGAAGAAACCAATAAATGTGTGTGTATGGATATTGAGCTTAGAGTATATAACACACATAATATAAAATCTAAAACTACATTACCCAAGCAATCTTGATCTTCAATAAGCTTGACTTGGTACACTTGCGAATGAAGCTTGAACTTGATCTTTAACTTGAATTGAATAAGCTTCACCGACATTCCGCCAACCTCCTTTGGATATGATCGTTGAAGCTCTATTCCATCCATCCTCCAACAACGTTGTTTGTCTACAAAACATAGGAATTCACAAACACTAGACAAACAACATTAGTAATAAATTGTTTGTTAAACATCATCAAAACAAGTGGTAAGTTCTCTTTTGCTTCGGCTTGGGATCAAGTTAGGACTCCCTACGATAGGTTTGAGCTTTACAATGTGATTTGGTTCCCTTCAGTAAATCCTAAAATGGCCTGTTGTTTGATTAACTTTACAATGTGATTTGGTTCCCTTCAGTAAATCCTAAAATGGCCTGTTGTTTGATTAAAAGTCTATACAATAGACTGGCTACTAGAGACAGGCTTTCAAAATTTGGGATCTCCTCAATGGAGGATTGTGTTCTTTGTTCTGGTGAGAAGGAAACTAGAGACCATCTCTTCTTTCAATGCCCATTTACAGCTTTTATTTGGAAACTCTGTAAATTAAAATTGCAATTGGATTCTACTGTTATTCAAGATCTTAGAACTGAAGCGCTGCAAATTCAACAGAAATTCAAGGTGAAGAATAGAACATACAAACTGGCAAGATTGGTTTTAAGTGCTACTGTGTGGCATATCTGGCAAGAAAGAAATCGTCGAATCTTTCACAATCAAAGGATGCATAAGATTTTGGTGTTTAGGAGACTTTATGAAGATATAAATGTTCTTCTGAGAACCTGTAATTGGAAGGCGGGAAATGAAGCTGTTCTAGCCAATTGGAGTCTGGAACCAATTAGTCGTGAACAGTGATCTCACGTAGTGTTTTCGAGTTTTATTTGTGTAAGGGGCAGTACTATTTTTTCTCTTTTGTTTTGGTTTTGGGTAATACTGTTTTTCCTTTAGTTTCTTTAGTTGAGGGTGACGGCCATGGTCCTCTTCCCTCTCTATAGTTTCTAAGGTTTGATTCAGTGTCACCCAGCCAATTTATGTAAATATGTACTAGCGTTATGATATTAATGAAATACTTATCTTTCAAAAAATATATATATATATATATATAT